CACACACACACACACACACACACACACACACACACACACACACACACACACACACACACACATTCTGAATAATTAGTACTTAAGCACAAGAAGAGTATCTCTACACTGTAATATCACTACTTTTACTTAAGCCTGGATCTGATTACTTTGACACACACACACACACACACACACACACACACACACACACACACACACACACACACACACACACACACACACACACACACACACACACACACACACACACACACACATACCAATGTTCAAATAAATGCAGACTCACAGGAAAACCCAGTATTTTACAAGCTGCAGCATTTAAGTGATGAAGACATGAATCAATCAAGAATAGCAATTAAGCACAAGAAAAGTATCTCTACACTGTAATATTACTACTTTTATTCAAGCCATGGATCTGATTACTTTGACACACACACACAGCACACACACACACACACACACACACACACACACACACACACACACACACACACACACACACACACACACACACACACACACACACACACTTGAGTCTGAGAAAAAATACTTAGACACTAGTTGATAATAATTATCTTACACTGCTTACTGTAAACATAACACATATTATTATAAAATACAATTATCTATAATATAGCAGTATATAAAGTTAATTTAATGAGCACACCGTATTTATTTATATTATATTATTTAACTCAAATGTATTACTTTGGTTGGGACTCAAAAAAATAAAAGTCTTTCTTTCTAGTAGTAAAAGCAATACTTAGTAAAAGTTGTTTTAAAGTGCCAGAAATCATTCTAAAATTGTACATTTAGTCAATTATTATTATCAGCTGGACAGTGCAAATGGATGATCTTTCACCTAGTCAATTAAACAGACCTTTTATTTTAATGTTGTTGTATTGGTAGTGATGGAGGAACTAAGAATGTTTATTTTTGAAACTGTGTATCCATCATTAATACATCTAATTGATACACTTATTTATGTCAAACATCAAAAAGTGCATTTTGCATGATAGGTCCCCTTTAAAGTGCAACGAGTCAGTTTTAAATCATGCCAAACTGTTTCTAAATGTGGAGCCACAACTTTCTTTACTCCTATTAACAAGCAAAAGACAGAATATCCAAAAACCTTCTGACTTTCTGATTTTAAAACTCACCTGCGTATCGGGTGAAAACCTTCATGCACCCAAGAACATCCTTAATGTGCTTTTTGAGGTCTCCCCTTTGTATTATAAACAAGACTTGCAATGGAGTATTTTTAGACTGTGGTATTACTACTTGAACTTCAGTCAAGACTCTGAAAACTGTGTCCACCTCCAGTACCTTTGTCGCTAGGCAGATTACAGACTGACAGTTTAACGATTTCGTCAAAAGTATCTAAAGTACTACCTCTTCTGCTTCATATTCACAAGGAAGTAAATGTGACAGCTGCAGGTAAACCCGACCTCAGTAACGTTCAGAAAAACACCAATAAACCTTTGAACCCTAATGAGACACTTAAATGAGACGTCGTTAGTTAGCAGTAGCACCTACCTGCTCCCGGGGTCTTATCGTCCAAACGTGTCTCTCGATAGGTCTTTAAAGTATTCAGTTGGTCCCTCCTCAGAGTGTAAATAGCTCTTCTGTAGATATCTGTCACAGGAGCTTCAGTTACAGGCGTGTGGAAACTTGTCAGCGAGAATGATTTACAGACTCGAGGTGTTCTGGTTTTTATTAGGACGTCCTGATGTGTTCCCACTGAAGACCTCCGTCCCTTCACTCCTATTTACTGAGGAGGATCCAGGACCATGTGGACACACACTGGTGTTTATATCCAGGGTTGTTTTTGTCCGAACAGGCAAAGAATGCAGGGAGAATTGTTTAACTTGTTGGAAATGTACTGAAGGAAATCTACTCTGTTTCACCATCGGAGCGATGAATCACGTGACGAAGAAGAAGCATTATCAGAGATAATTATTGCATCCTGCTCCGACTTGAAATAATATTCAACAGATTCTGAGTTGGATTTTACTCATTACTTAAATCCAATGGAAAAACCCCATTCAGTTCATTTCATTTCATTTCAAACCTTTATTTAGACAGATTGGTCCCTTGAGATCATCGATCTCATTTACAAGGGAGACCTGCATCATTTAGTTCCAAATGAAAAATAAAAACAACATACAAACAAACAACAGAGGATATCATATTTACATATTCAACATTTACAAATACCCAGAGTGTGAGAAAGCATTTCATTTAGACGTGCCTTAAATACATTCAGAGAAATAAAAATGCTCAATTTCAATTTTGCCTGTAGACTGTTCCAAGCAAGTGGAGCTGCGCACATACAAGCTGTCTTACCTTGGATTTTGTCGAGGGGGCCCTTGCGATGCTCTACAGGGAGTTATTTACCCATTTAGTTTCACACAACTTGAAAAGGTGGTTTCTTAATGTGATCTTTTTGCATATCGAAGTGTTATTTATTCATTTATTATGTGAGTTTCCCCTCTGCGACCCTTTCCCCTCTGCGACCCCCACTGACACTTGCCTTCAACCACCGTATAGACTGTATGCATTATCACACTAATACACACTATGCAAACAACATCTTGCTTTTATTGATTTCATTTAAGTATTGCCTGTTCTGCAAATCCCTCTAAATATTTTGCACATTTGTACACAAGCTGCCTCTCGTCCACTTCCATAACAACACTGCACATCTTTTTATTATTATTTGGAGTACTTTGCAACAGTTCCCTTGCACGAAGTATATCCAGATTTCATGTGAATTTTCTATATCTAATCATATAAAAGTTTCAATTGTTTTTATTGTTATTTTGTGGTTGTTTGTTCTTACTTTAAATCTTCTTTAACTGTGTTTATATGCACCATGTACACCAAGACACATAAACCTGTTTCTGATTCAGATTTTTTAAATGTAATTATAAGGGACAACTCTAAACTATTATACATTAGAATCAGGAATCCTTTATTAGTAACATTAGTTATACAACAGTGGCTTGCAGCAGCCGACCTCTTTCAATGTTAAGTTCATATTTGTTGAAAAAGTGGAATCAAATTCAGCTCAAAGTTAAAATGTGTATCAACAGATGTTGACTTTAATTTAATAATAATAAATAATAATGCATTACATTTTTTATTACAGGTGCTCAAAGCGCTTTACAATTACACATTATTAGTAAAAGTTGTCTAAAGTATTAGACATGTAAGAGTCATTACTGCGGACAATACCCACAGGAGCAGATACGGGTAAAGTGTCTTGCCCAAGGACACAACGGCCTAGGCGGGATTCGACCTGGAGTTCACCAACGCCCCTTGATCTGATGACTAAGGCTCTAACCACTGCGCCAAAACCGCCCCAATTTTATCCACAAGGAGGTGAGTGAGTGTTGCCTTGAAGTGAACAGGACATGTACACAAAATCACCTGTTCTGATATCATGTTCTGTTAAGTCTGATTAAATATGAAGCATACATACATAACATCCAAAGTAAGACTAGTATACTTTTCTGAATGTCTGGGTGGCTATTGAGTCATATGATCTGAATTTTCTGTGATTCCCCAACATTATTGGCTTGTAGTCCATTCTCTTATTTCCCTTGTTGTGTTTGGCGTTTTTGATGTGGGTGGTGCACTTTGTAAAGTAGGTGCGCTGAAAGTTGACCCTAAATTCAGTGTTTGGGATTAGACGCAATCCCCAAAACCCCCCTAAGTGTCACATCTGATTCACCCTCATTGTGTTATCAGGATATTACATTTATGTGATGTGGTGTGACTGAAGGATTTCGTGGATTACTGACGGGATAATCGGGGTTGTTGGACTCGGACTTGGGGACATTTTTTACTTTGAGTTGACCTTATTGTCTCCAAGACATGCCGGTGTCTTGACCTAGATTTTTCTCCTTCTGGTATGCGACGTGTGTGTGTGTGTGTGTGTGTGTGTGTGTGTGTGTGTGTGTGTGTGTGTGTGTGTGTGTGTGTGTGTGTGTGTACTGGACTTTGTTTACTTGGTATTTTAATTCAGATTGGACTCAGACTTCTCCTATCTGTGTTGTGACTCACTCTGTTATACGGTTTTGATTTGGACTTAAGTGCGTCATCACTCTTTTGCTTTGTAGAACTGTGTGTCAATAAAAGAACAAAAGACGAAATAAATAGATTCTGGAAAATCTTTTATTTGGCTGCATTTTAGTTTTCAATTCCAATAAATCAGTATTGTGTCTGAAATGGGAAAGCCCACAAAGGTCACAAATAAAAAATGCTAAATTTTAATATTCTCCATATTATATTTTTCATTGTATTCATTAGATAAATATTTGTTTTAAATAGATTACTCATGGTATAATGTAGATGAAGGAACAATTCCATCAAATTTAAGACAAAATGGAAGTTTAAATGACTACATAATACAATCTGTAAATAAGCAAGAGGCCAAATTCTGATAATATAAAGCAAATGAAAGAAAATATGTTGTTTTCAGAAAAGCATGTATTACTTTGTTGTTTGTACAGGGCATACTTTTATCAAATTAAGGATTAAATGACTACATAATGAAATCTGTGGATCATCAGGAGGCCTTATCCTGTAAGCATTTAACCGATTAAACCCAGATTTGCTTGATTTTGGTGGGAATCACCAGTTTGGGGGTGCAGCTCTCTCCAGCGTAGCACTGACAGGTGAAGTGCTCCTCCCACATCTTCAGGTCGTCTTCGGAGGGAATCCCGACAGCGACGTACTTCCTGTCAGCTCGCAGGATGCTGAAGCGCTCTGGGTTCAGGTGGAGGTAGCGGCCGCACTCGTAGTTCTTCCTGACGCAGCGACCTTTCCACTGACACAACACCTCGCTGCACAACATTGCCGCCGCCGTCACGTTGGCGACGTACGGGTTGAAGGTGGAGGTCAAGTACTCAGAGAGAGACGTGCAGGCAACCTGGAGAGAGGGGAGGGGTTGCAGGTGAGAGTCAGGAAGACATAGTAGTGCATAAACGCTAACATTAGGCTATAAAGGAACTACAGCACGGTCACATGACTTCACGTCCCCACCGCTAAGCTAAAGGTGGCTAATGTTGGGCTATAAAGGAACTACAGCACGGTCACATGACTTCACGTCCCCACCGCTAAGCTAAAGGTGGCTAATGTTGGGCTATAAAGGAACTACAGCACGGTCACATGACTTCACGTCCCCACCGCTAAGCTAAAGGTGGCTAATGTTGGGCTATAAAGGAACTACAGCACGGTCACATGACTTCACGTCACCACCGCTAAGCTAAAGGTGGCTAATGTTGGGCTATAAAGGAACTACAGCACGGTCACATGACTTCACGTCACCACCGCTAAGCTAAAGGTGGCTAATGTTGGGCTATAAAGGAACTACAGCACGGTCACATGACTTCACGTCACCACCGCTAAGCTAAAGGTGGCTAATGTTGGGCTATAAAGGAACTACATGGCTAATGTTGGGCTATAAAGGAATTACAGCACGATCACATGACTTCACGTCACCACCGCTAAGCTAAAGGTGGCTAATGTTGGGCTATAAAGGAACTACACCACGGTCACATGACTTCACGTCACCACCGCTAAGCTAAAGGTGGCTAATGTTGGGCTATAAAGGAACTACAGCACGATCACATGACCACA